TTATTATGAGAGTAAGGGAATAGAGAGTGCACCTGTGCTTGCGCATACACTTAGGCACTATGATCCTGTCCTGCGCCGATGGCTCTCCGTTGAGGCGAACCACCGTGATCGAAATTCGGTCTGGAGGATATTGTAATAAGGCATGTTGATGATGGGAACTCATGAGAAGATGTGAAAGAATGAATGAAAGAAGTCTTCACTTCATCAATTTTAATGTATGCGTTATTGATTGACGAAGCCGTTATTAATGAAACAATTTAGAAGGCAAGATTTTAAAAGCAGTTTATACATATAAAACACGTATTTGTAAATCTTCTTATGCGTTAATTGATTTATAGATTTGTATCTTGCTTTTGACTGGTGGACTAATCAGGAGCTATAAATGAAAATAAACATCTAAATATTCTTATTTGCCCTTCCACAGTCGGATAGCTTTTATGCTGCCCATGGTCGTTAACTACTGACATACTTTTTTCACGCAATCCGTCATTTACAGCCCATTTACATAATGCCATTTTGTTGTACGTACAAGAGTAATTATTGAATGCGATTATTAAATTGCAACAATTTCTTATTAAAACGCAAAATTTGTCATTCAAGAATTGTAAGCAACTGTTTACAAATTTGACAAGAAATAATTGCTACTATCTTTTGTTTACATCAAGGCAATTATGTTAAGTGGTACGATTACACCGAGTTATTCGTGGATGAGTACGACGCGTTTACATACTTGTCTGTATTCATTATACATAGATCTTTTAAACATGAATGATGTACGTCTCATTGTCACGACTTTATGTCTATTTAATTTTTATAGACTCGTAAATAATAATATTTTAGTAAATAGTAAGTATAGAATTATGTTTGCTGATGTTGGAAGACCGGGTCGGACTGATGGTGATGGTGGTGTGTTACGGAATAGTAGTTTTGTGGCTAAAAATAAAAAATAAGTTTTTGAATTTGCCACTTGAATGTCCTCTACCTAAAAGTAACATAATAACAGGGGAAATGCTATTTGACTAATTCTAGCAGTATATATTTTACTAAATTAAGTACACGATATGATATCCAACTGCTTAATATACAAATTATTCCTAGTACTGATAATTTTAAAAACATTTAACTGTATGTTTTAAGGGTCTGTGTCTCATCATTGACAAAGAACAGTAAAAAATGTAATGCTGGATATTGTTACTCATTATTTTCAAATATCAACTTAAATTATGTGAATAATATGCTTCAAGGTAAATCTACTATAATATAAACAGTACTACAAACATACAAAACTGAAAATCATATTTCAAATAATTGAGCAACACTACACACCAAAATAAAGCCAAATATTATACTTTATAAAGTAATCAAAAGTTGCTGTAAAAAGGTGTTGGTTGTAATTTGTAATCTACTATAACAGAACTTTTCTTCTTAATGACATCTCTTATTTATTATTAATAAAAAGCAACTAGTAATTTGCATTTAAAGTTTAGGATTAGTATGCTGTATGGTAAATCTTATATCTGTAATAAACAACAAACAAAACGCATATATGTAACGATGGCTAGTTTCCGTTGATTCAGGCCACCGTGACTGAAAGAATCATGCCTACTTTACATACATTGAATGACCTGCACTTGATTCCTTTAACAGGTCGCGTCTACCTACAACTACTGTTGTATAAAAACAATTATTGTTTATAATAACATAATAACTGTTCATATTTTCATTTAGAGGCCAGATATAAACGCTATTGAGTAAATAAAAGTTTGAGGTTATAACAGTTGTCAGATAAGGTCTGTAAACTTATTTTTCTTTCCACACCATAGTACAAAATCATCAAAAATTGAATCTAATCATAAATTAATTAGTTACAAAAAAGAAATTGATTATTTTGAACATTCATAAACCACATATTTATTATACATACACAAGACGCTCTTTAAAGATATATCATGTTTATTTGTCAATACTGACTTATATAAAACAAAAACTCAACATTAACCCAAGTTTACCTCTATATATCTTTAAAAATATGTCCAACTTGGATCAGCATTTGTGGACATTAGCGTGCAAAAACGCACAGACACTTATACAAACCCTGTTTACGATTTAATTGTTTGTATAAATTATAACTTAATATATATGAGATCACAAGCAAGAATAAGGCAGTAAAACAAATCAAGTTACGTTCCTTGGATAAAAGTCAGCGAGCAGGAAAATTAAAAGAGGCGTTGTTTTTGTTCCAGAGGATACTTAATTAGATAATATAACGTTTTAATCATCGATAATGTTTTTTTATAGAATGGGCTGAGCACACAGTTCATCCGATGGTAAGTGGATGCTGTGGCCCATAGACATCTATATTTATCCTCAATTAAGATTCAAAATGCAGATGCGTTGTCACCCCTGAGGAGTGCCTTGTTTCCAGTAAAGAGGGTCTCTGGTTCTCCAAACTCACCAAACAAAACACAGCACCATTTAGGTACTATTCAGTGAGAGTGTGATCCTTCCCCAGTCGAGCCGATCCATTCGTGTTCCTACCATAATGTACCTGAAGCATGTCTTAACTACGTAAAAAAATGAGTTAACAAAATTAAACTGGCCACAATAAGCTTGTGAGTAGTTTGGTAGATACCAAATTAGAGTCACTCGCTTCTTGGCATGAATCAGTGACTTACAAAGCTACTGGATGCAAAATTGCTACTTGATATATAGCAACACCAGCCCATACACATGTAATTATTCTATAGCCGCTCGGACCATTGGTCTGTTTTTTAGAATAAAATAAGACGGCATGGAATAAAATACTTCTACACTTACGATAGGACTTCCACGATCTTTGTTTTCGCCCAGAATTAGTAACTTGCTAAAAAGTTGTGACGTTTGTGTTCATTCTGCGGCATCTATCTATCACGGCCTATACAGTTCATTTTAGAACATTAGCTTCTCCCGTACATTGCCTCATACACATCCGTTTTTTATAATTTTCAGTTATTATCAGACAGATGCTACTCTACACTTCCTGCTTCAGTTTTACTCTGTTGCCTCTTACGACACCCACGTGACGATATGGGGTAGTAGATATTTTACATTTTACATACTACACGTTGAATACTGGTCTTATGGGCATAGTTGAAAATAAATATGAAATTCCTCATCGTCAAAATTTGGAACTTAGATTCATAGGAATAATTTGATGTAACTATTGCCCTCGACATGTGAGAAGTTAAAACCATAGAGGGCCTCCGATAGTACTTTGAACAGAAATTACTCTTCTAATAATATTGGTACTTGGTATATTTGCTAACGTTGAATTTAAGTTTCAAATTCGCTTAAGGAAGCTTTCAAATTATCTGAATACACACTGTAATATAGTTGCTTAACAACAGAAATAGGCAAGAGAATATTGTCTACCCAAAAAACTCCTACGCAGAAAAGCCTTAATATCATAGTATATCTTAATCTTAGCGATCTGTTTTTGTAAGGCAGGTTGTTATGGAAACCATTATAAAAACATAAATACCCTCCTCATATTTCTGGACCTGAGCGGAATTTACTATTTTATTCTGGTTAAAGGATATGGAGAACCAGTATGACTGTCGGCTATGGATCATTTTATTTTGGTCCACAAGGTGACAATTTTTCTGGTTAGTAGGTCAAGTAGGTTATACTTTGTTTAAAGTTAGTAGCAGGTAGTTAAGAGTCTACAGGCGTAAATGAAAAAAGTGACTTTCAATAAGTATTGTTTATAATCTATACTGAATAAAAAGGTTTCTGTTTCTGTTACAACTAGTTCGTGTTTTTACAGGGGATGATATGGATTTTTTTGCCGCCAAATAGCAATGCTTTCACTGCTGTATTTCGGTCTGAGGCAATATTCTGTCTGAGTTGTAACAGGCTGTGAGGCATTCCAACTTAGTTCCAGAGGTGACAACGCATCTGTAACTTTATCTTTGTTTGAAGGTGGTCACAAATATCCATGAGCTGCATTAGCCACTTACCAACAGAGCGACTGTAAGTACGTTTGTCACTTTGGTTTAAGAAATAAAATGGATCCTAGACGTATTCGCTCAGCGAGCTTTGGAGAGGGCTGTGCTCTGAATTTTTCTGCGTGATATAATTCAGACTGAAGATATCCACAGTGGAACCAGAGTAACCAACATAGCTTAATGTGTCATCAGTAAGTGACATTTGGCCGCCTATATAGTTCGAAGAACTGACTATCGATAGGAAGAAAGATTCTCGAGTGAGAGCCTTGTACTGATTTGCGAAGTGTAGGGCGATCCCTACTAGATGGAGTAACGACCTGGTAAGATATGCAGGTAGTTGATAGATACAGGTGGCTCAGAATCTTGTAGCGTTACTTGGAAGAGACATAAGTTCAGCAATGGACTTGGATAGCTGTAACGATGACGATGATGATTCTATTATCAAAGTGCACTGTTGAAATAAGCCTTTCCATAGATTGCCTCATAAATTCTCATCTTATTTGTCATAGCTACCACGCTTAGTAAGTGAGCTTGCAACGCAGTTTTTAATTATTTTAGTTTGTTACCAGCAAGCCTCTGACGACATTCATGAAATAATCTAGGCTATTCCTGCTAGGGTTTCTCCTACTCCGCCGCTACACTGCGTTATTATACGTAAAAAAGAGATAATTATTTTGTTTTTAAAATATTATTATTACGTACATACTACATAATATATACTGTCTAGTTCAATTTTCGTTAATTACATTTTTACGTAAAGAAAGGAGTAGAACGTTTTTCTTATTCAAAATATACAATTTTGATTCCAATATCACTTTACTTTCAGCAAATTCTATGCAGACTTTATTATATGCAGGCTTTCCGCAAGCTTGGCGTTCTGACGAAGTTAAATTCAAAGTTATGCAAATTGGAAATCGGTTCAAAGGGTTACTTAAAAACTTTTTTTTGCATATTATATGTAGTCCACCGACGATGAATTTATTGCTATAGCATTTTTGTTGTTACGTAACAAAAATGTTAACGTTATTGGGCACATCCAATATATATGCAGGGAATAAAAGAGAGTACATTATATCTCAAAGACAGCCAAATCACGAGGACAACCAGGTGCGTTTTTGTATTTTACAGGTGTCAGTAAAATAATAAAAGAAAACTGCTCAAAGAGGTCATCCTCCCTTATACAAAATACTACACGTTAATAAAAACCAAAATGACCATTTTATGTAAGTTATTTTTTCTATTTTTAAAAAACTAAAAACAATTCCCTGTCTTTCAATCAAAACTTCGGTGGCTTTCAGTTTGAAAAATTGCGACCCTCTTGCCACCTGGAAACCATAAGTTTAAAACTTCAAGTGCGGTAAATCTATACAAATAAATAAGAGCTCACGCCCGGAGGGTTTGGAACAAACTTAATTATGTATGTAGATAATTCATCAATCCTTGAAATTGAGAGCCTCGATGATTTTGCTCGATTTCAATATCAATATCAATACACGAATTCCGCAAATATACAAGGATAATATTCACTTATATAAAATAATACTATTTTTGAAATTGAATAAAAGTAACAAACAAGCGCAAAATCCACCTAATGATGCTGTGTCCCATAGATACTTACGAGATTATATAGAATTTCTATTATTATATTAATATAGAATTTCTCGATACTAGTAAAAGGTAAGTACTACTAATACTACCTTTTCTACACTCACCGGTCTCTTACTCTCCGGTCGAACCATCCCACTAGTGTTTCAACCATACCTAAAAAAGTAAGTAGTAAAAGTAAGTTATCTTTAATTTATTTATATGCACAACATAAACTCAGTATCCCTACTGAGTTTATGTTGTGCATATATAGTGACAGAAAATTTGGGTTATAAGTTATTACAGAGAAGCATTATATTTTAAATTTATCATATTTTTAAAGGCAGCCAACTTACCGGTAAAATGTCTACAGTGTCGTTGTATGTTGGCCAGTTTGCTCTATACGCAATATTGCGCTGTGTAGTAGCGGCGGCGTTAGAGAATCTCGTAGATGTCTTAAGAGGTAACAGGAGGATACTAAACAGGAAAGGCAGTAATATCTTCTTGATAACAACACAAAAAAACAAAATACTACAGTTGCGGGAGAGAACTATACACGGTAAACTTTGATTTGCTGTAATGAAGTACTGTGCTGTACTGTTTCTTCAGATAACTGGAGTTATACTAGAGTTATACTGGATGGATCCAGTATTATAAAGATTATACATATACATAAAACTTAAACACTCACGCTTGTCACCCAGAGGGGTAGGCAGAGACTACGAACTTTCATTTGGCACGATCATGACATACCTTTCTCGTCTCCTTCACATACATATATCTACGCATAGACGCTCGTCGGTTAAGGGTACTCCTAATGTGGCCCATTTTCAAAATATCGCCAATTTGGTCGATCAACTTTCGTCTAGTGCATCCCTTTCCGACTCTCCCGTTCACATCTGCCATATAAATTTGCTTTGCCATATAATTCTTTTTATATAGATTATGTTTTTTATATAAATATTATCTATAAATTAAATTAAAAAATACCCTCATTTTCGAAACGCTCCCGAAAACGAAGACAGACGAGAGTAATAAGGACAGATTGATGATGATGAGACAAAAAGAAAATCGATCCCGATGAAAATAAAAGATTTTTTTAAAACGTTTAATTAGCTTTATTCACGCTCTATCATGTTAGTTGGTTTGGCTCGGTTTGGCAACGCTGCAACATGTGTGTGAAAGGGAAGGGTAGAATGAGCGTAAATACAATAATACCTAATGTATTGTTTCGTACCGAGCTCGATAATAAGAGTTCAGAGTCCGCGCGTTTTTTGACCCCTTATCAGCTGATTTTACTTTTTTAAGTTTCACTGCTGCTCTTATGTTTAGGTATTTTCATCATTTTTTATGAAATTATTGTTTCATTTAGCTGTAATAACATGATAGAGCGTGAATAAAGCTAATTAAATGTTTGTAAAAAATGATTTTATTTTCATCAAGATCGATTTTCTTTTTGTATCATCATCAAATCTATCTTCATCTTTGGGAAGTTTTAAAAACCACCCGTTATAATAAATCTATAAAAAATTCGTTTATGTAATTTAAATATTTTCTGGAAAAAAACAAGTCCATACAGTTGGACTGTCCAGGGAGTCGTGAGTCAGGCTGCTGCTCCTGCAGACATTATGTAAGTGTAAGGGACCAACGATTACATGATCAGCACGGCTTCTAGTCGCAGAGCGTGTCATGAATTTACTGCGCACTTTCGAGGGCACGGGGTTCCACGTTGAGAGGCTTTTGGTCGCAGCCTTTAGAGTCTTCTCCCTCCAGCTACAACACGCATGAGGTCGACATATGTGATCCACCAACCAATTCAGCCAAAACCAAAAAAGAGCGAAGCCTCGAATCGATATAGATATAAATAAAAATCATAATAATTTCTTTTAAATTCAAATTACTACGAGTATATTAGAATGTAATTGTATTTCAAGGGAATACGACGTGTTGTATAACTCAATGAATATGACATTACAAACTTATTACAATTCTTTAAATTTTAAAGTTATGCCCTGAATCAATGACGCAAGCCAGAACTTTACCTAATTTATTTTACCGATCACTGTAATAAATAATTCAAGACTTCTAAAAGTTTGCACAATTTGACACAAACTGCCCGGCAAAAAAAGGAATTACAGCTAATACCTCACCGGGATGTACAAATTGACAGTCGCCACAGAGAGTAGCAAACACTAACGCCAGTTAGGGCCGAAACACATAAGCGCGTTGCGGCGCCGCGCCGCGGAAATCGGCAGTGCGCTATAGCGGTGCGGCGCCGCAACGCACGACGTGAATTCCAGCGTTATGACGTCATACTTGTTGACAAGGATGCAGTTTGTTTCTAACACTCTTGCAAACAACACGTGTCAACCGAGAAGCAGTTTTAAAATTAAAATGTCTGACGTTGACGTCGATCTGTTTATATCTTCGGTTCAGGAACACCGTTGTTTGTGGGATACTAGTGACGAAACCTATAAAGACAAATTTATAAAACAAGAAGCATGGAAAAGCATTTGTGAGATCGTTTATATTGATTACAAGGAAAAAAACTCAACCGAAAAATCAAAACTGGGTAAGTAGTAACATATAGTCTTAGGCAATGATATTTTAAACTAAAGATAAGTTACGTTCATAGTAATTTACGTTTTAAATCTGTTCCTGTGTTTAAATCATTACCTCCCAGCAATCCAAAACTGCACACATTTGCAAGTTTTACTGATAAGCAAACCAAAAGATATGAAATAAAACGCAATTGAAAGAGATAGCTATAATTTTAATGGTTGCACTTCAAACGTTTCTTGTGCATAGAGTAACATTTATAGTCGTAGAGTGGACACTTGATTCAAAACTATTCAAAAGTACATAGATAAGAAATAAAACATCTTACAAAAGTAAAAATAATAAGGTATTATTTGTATTTTGAACTGAGTAGGTATACGAACATTCATATTTTCTTTAATTGCCAACTTAGGGCGCCAACATCACTGGAAAAGTAATTACAAAAATCATTCCGTATTAGATGTGGGCTTAAATTATTTTCATTTGCTGTGGGCAAATGCAACATTTGCAGATCAGAATCATCAAAGATAATGTCATCGGTCGCTTGTACTCCATCTCGATTCAAAACAAAGTTGTGCATTACACAACATGCCTTGATAATGTCTGTCGCAAATTCGTATTGCACATTCATAGATCGATGAAATATGCGCCATTTATTGGCTAGGATGCCAAAAGCGCACTCGACATATCTTCGGGCACGACTCAGTCGATAATTGTAAACTCTTTGTTGTACCGACAAATGTTTTCCTGAGTAAGGGCGCATGACGTTATTCGAAATTGAGAATGCTTCATCTCCTACAAAAACAAATGGAGTTTCATTTTGAGAACCTGGTAAAGGCTTTGGTACAGGAATAGGTAATTTGCGTGTCATAATCAAATCATAAAGTTTAGAGTTCTGGAAAACGGTGGAGTCACTTTCCTTGCCATACGCTCCTATATCGACAAAAATGAATCTATATCTAGAATCTACAAGAGCTAATAAAACTATTGAATTATAGCCCTTATAATTGTAAAACAGTGATCCACTGTGCGCAGGACATGTAATACGGACATGTTTACCATCAAGAGCTCCTATGCAGTTAGGAAAATTTGCTTTCTTGTCAAACTCAATAGCGACATCTTCTAGAACCTGTTTTGTTATAGGAGGTATATTTTGACTTGATAGATGTTTCCATATGGCGCGACAAACTGTCCTTACAATTTTTGCTATTGTACTTGCTCCTCGGAAGTAATTCGTATGCATGGTTTTAAAGTCACTGCCGGTTGCTAGAAATCTAAAATGAAATAATAATTAGTAGGCAAATAATAAAATAATACAAATGTAGGTATAATCAAACTCAAACCGCGCAGGTAATAGTGTTGCTAAAGGAATAGATTTTCAAAGATAGACAGGTAGTTTTTCAAAGAAGTACTCAATAAATATTTTACATTATGGTTGTTATAGGCAAAGTCAATCAGTTTTTAACTTGCCTAAGTCAAGAAAAAGCAGAAAATTATTCTTTTTTCGGCGGCCAGCCATTTATATGAAATTGGATGGACCGAAAGTACTTATGAAAGTTATATCAAATTTTATATGTAGTATAAATGGAATCTAGGGAATTTTAGTCTTTATTACTATTTTTCACTTGTGAAGTTTTTTGTTGCAGGTAATGATTTAGTCAAGAAGTGGAAGGCCATAAAAGATAATTTTGCTAAATATCAAAAAAAACTAAAAGATGCCAATCGATCAGGAGCTGGAGCTGCAAAAATTAAAGAATATCACTTGAATAAACAATTACAGTTTTTGAAAAAAGGTTTCACAAAATGCAACTGATTCCAGTTTATGCGTAGCGGAAGGAGATATTGAGAATGAAATAACGGCATTGCCTCGTTATAAAAGTCAACCACGAAAACGAAAGGCAGATGATAAGGATGATATTGAAGAAGATTTATTGGCAATATTAAAAACACCGGAGAATAGACATTTGCATTTTTTCAAGGGGATTTTACCATCTCTACAATCGTTAAATGAGAATCAAACATTGATATTTCAAAGTCGGGTGCTTCAAATATTAACCGACATTCTTCAACCTTCAATTCATCAAAATACACATCACGGCTATAATCAAGAATATCAGCATCAGGGTTACAATCAAGGATATTCAACTATGAGATACGATAATACGGTTCAGAGTGGCTACCACACTTCTACTCCTGGAAGTTCGATTACTGAACAGAGGACTACCTCATCATCAAACCAACAACGTCCAATAAATTCACCATTTTTACTGGACGAAACGTCAGCTACTTCCTATGTTTCACAAGATGAGGAGTTTGATTTTTCTTAAATTGATCATTACATTTTTTAAGGCCTATTAAAGTATTCTTAAAGTAAGAAAATTGTATAATGCAAAAAGCTTAATTTGATTCTGTCTTGTTTCATTTGAACCTGGCTTTGTACCACTAGGTACCCCCAAACCATGAACACTAGTGATGCAAAATTTTTATCGACACCCCGCTAGTACCACAGGTGTATAAAGCCAGGGGTACAAATAAAACTAAACATTTGATTCCGAGTGCCATAAAGATCAATAAAAAAAAATAAGAAACCTATTTGTTTTACCTTAAAGTTAAGCCCAGCATTTCCAAAGCAGTAACTGGTTTTCTTCCTTTTTTTTTTTCTTCTGTATATATTTTGATAACTCGCTTAATAGCTCTTCAAATGATGATATACTCATTCTAAAGTAGGCAACAAATTTTTTTTCGTCTATCTTTAATGCTTCGTATTTTTTAGAAAAGAACTCGCCATTTGGATTCATACCCTTACTTAATGGATGTATCCAGTATCTTCTTTGCCGTATTTTTAAGATAGAATAATGTCTTCTTAATAACAAATAAGCAATAAGTTTATTACGATCCATCGCAGAGAGACGTCTATCCACACTCAAAAATCACGAGAATGGTTGCCCTACCATAATGCCCTGTTTCGCGACGCCGCAACGCGGCAACGTAACTGCCGATTTTGGCGTTGCGGCGCCGCAAAAATAAGCAGTTTGCGTTATGTGTTTCGGCCCTTAATTCGTTTCTATTAAGATTTCTACCTAATAAATAATCTATCTTTGTTATGAACAGGTTAAATTGACGTATATAATATTTTAATTATTATCTTCTATCTTCTATAATATAGAAAAATCATTTGCTGTACATTAGTCTCGCTAAGACTCGAAAACATTTTTTTTTTCAAAATTATGTGTATTTGCGTAGGTCTTTGGATAGTTTAAAAACTCAATAGAACCTGGTAGGTGGCGCTGTCGTCTATAATATTGTTCGCAGAAATGATAAAAGGAACAAGAACAAGCAACCATGAACATATCTATTATTGCTTTATGCCAGATCGAAGTAAAAATGGTGCAATGCGGATTTTTACTCGAATTTTTACGAATGAGTAGTCTAGCCGTCATGTTAGTGGGGTATGCGACCCGGTTCTGACGATGTATAGAACATTGTGTTGTTACTGTACATTCCAACGTAAATTGTTTGGTAACGTTACCGGCAACGAAGCCAAGACGTCTCGTTGATATAATATGGCTCTGAAGGTTGTAGTAGTTAATCATAAAATAATGCTTCACTTGCCAATTCAGTAGTTGATGCTTGTTAAATAAAATATCACGCAATTTCACAAATTTTTTATAGCTTTTTGCAGAAAATGCGCCGTCTAGACATAGAGTCTATTCATTAGCCTAGAAAGAATTTAAAACCTTGCTTTTGATTAAAAAATATCTTACAATACGTTGTTATGTTGTGTACTGTTATTATATCTTTCTTTTAAATCTTCATGGTGTTACACACATAAAAGATACCAATTTTTAATAGTAAATGGTCCATCGAACATTTAACCTGAAATGCTCGATGAAATGGCCTAAAAGTTTTATGAAAATCTAAACGGAACGTGCCTTCAGAATTTTTTTATTATAGTCAACCAAATCTAAAAAATACATTTTGACAGCTGTCGGACTTATTGCAATATTCAATTGTTAAAAAAATCGATATAGATTATTTAGAGTTGGTAATCATAATCATATACAGTTTGGTTTGAATAATACGACAATAAATTTAAAACACAAGATTTAACAGTTTCTTCATATTTGTTATACTGCTTATTTCTAGAGGCAAAGTTATAAAAAATTAAGATTGAAACACTTTCAGTACAACTAGTAGAGCTGTCGTTGTTTAGATTAATTATTATTTAATTTTCAATTATACATTCAAAATTAATATCTCTTTCAAAGTCATCCATTATCAATTTTTTTGTTTTTTCTATCACTTTTGCCCAATTATTATTTGTGACATGGACACATGCTTCAACGAATATAGAAGAAACGGTCCAAAAAGTTAAGGTCGAGTCACAAGATAAGAAAACAAATACAAAATCACAAAATTAGGCACAGTAAGCTCCCGAAATGGCGGGAGATTGAAATTTCTTAGTAGTTTTTTCAGCGCGGCCTTGTATATGAGTTTTTTGGCCTACACAAATTTACGTTGACAAAGTTAAAAAAATAAACTTGTTTTATTCGTGATTCATATAATTTGAGGAATTAAAAAAAAATTAATGATTCGATTATTTGAATATTTTTCGATTATTTGAATATTTTTGCCGATTATTCGCATAACAATGAATTTTAATCATCCAAACTCTATGTTAAGGTACATAGCGACATATCATTGAATCGACGTCAAGTTAAAAAAGTTAATAATGATTATTTTAATGATTTCTTAAATTTACGCGAAAACTACACATTGAATAAAACTATTATTTACGGATTTTATCGCGTTTAATTACTTTAATTTATTTTTATTATTATCCCGACGTTTCGGGTGCTTTACAGCGCCCATGGTCACGGGGGGGACTGAGATGTTTGACGTCCCAATGTCATAGTTAGTCCGGCTACCTTCAGTTTTTAATATTAATTTTAATATTAATTTTTTTTTATTTTTTTTTTATTTTTTTTTAATTTTTTTTTAATTTTTTTAATTTTTTTTAATTTTTAATTTTTTTTTATTTTTTTTTTAATTTTTTTTAAATTTTTTTTTTTTTAATTTTTTTAAAATTTTTATTTTAAATTTTTTTTTTTTTAATTTTTTTTTTAATTTTAAGAATTTTTAATTTTAAGAAACGTCGGGATAATAATAAAAATAAATTAAAGTAATTAAACGCGATAAAATCCGTAAATAATAGTTTTATTCAAAATGATTATTTTTTTAATATTTTGCTTTATTTGAAAGATTCGAATTTAAATTAGTGATAAAAAAACTATACACGTTGTAATGAAATATAGATAACTTCGTAATTCTTCGCATTTATGTAAAAGGTTATTTGAAATCGTATGAGTACGCTTGTGCAAAGTTATTGCAGAATAATTAATGTGAAACGTCAAAAGGTATTTCTTAGACTTGGTTGACTATAGGCCACGTAGGTTTCCTCACGATACGGTTCTCATCATCGTGTTCAGCATTTAATATTCCTATAATTAATTTCAATGATGCCGGCGGGGATCAAACTCGGGTGGCTCTACTATAAAATTTGCGGTAAATTCCCTTGAGCTAACGTTAATTGTATCAAATTAAAACTAATTTATATATGGTTGCAAGATACAATCACCATCATTACAGTCATAGGCCTGCTGAACATAGGAAGCTCAAAGGAACGTAAATTCTTCCTCAACAATTGTTAGTACTTCAATCTATTTGCACAAACCATTTCAAGATACAATAAGTCAGATTAAACTAGGTATCTTTTTTCGCATGAGTACAAACTTTTTGATGTTTCCGTATTTTCGTTTTTACTCTAAGAATCGGACTTGTGACAAAGCATAGCGTAGGTACTGAAATGTACGACTGCGAATATTTGAGTTTTTACTACTATATTTAACTTTTTTTCGAAATTTAATCATCCTTGACAGAAAATAAATGATTACCATTTCAAAGTGGTACCTTGAAACTGAATGAAAATTTAAGTTAAGCTTTTTGTGTAAATATGAAGATTTTAAAATCACCATCATCATATTCCTTACGGTATTAACCTCAATAGCAAGCACACGCTTATCTCCGATTTTACGACGATGTAGTCCTTATGGCAGAATCACTGGAGGACCTAAGCACTATGTTCAATGGTCTTTCCGTTATGTGTATCCCAACGGATAAGTCTTAAGATGAACATGGACAAAACTAAAGTCCCTATGACGGTTGTTGTTGTGGATCACTAATCTCAAAGTTATTGACGAGTATGTTTACCTGAGATAAATAGTCCGACTAGGTAGGCTCAACTTCAACCGAGAATTCAATCAAAAGATTCAACTCGGCTGGGCAGCGGTCGAGAGATTACGACACATGTCGTCAGGCAAACCTCAAAACAAGACTGTACAACCAGTGCATGTTGTCAGTGACGACCTATAGATCTGAGATGTGGTCTTTCACTGCTGGCCGTATGAAGAGAAGCTCAAAGTCGCTCAGTGGGTTATGGAGAGGGCTATGCTCGGGGTTTCTCTGCGTGATAAACTTAGGAATGAGGATATCCGCAGTAGAACCGCAGTAGAAGTAAGTGACCGATATAGCTCAATTAATTAGTAATGTTACGAGCTTGAGGTTCGTGACAATAAAAATTGCCGATAAAATTACCTAAATTAACACTTTAATTTACTTTAAACAAATTAAAACTTAAAACACTAATAATTAAACACACTAATTCACTTAATTTCGCTCCAAAGCTTCGCTCGTATCGCCAATTCAATACTACCTCGATCGCATCTTTCAGCGCCTACTTATATAAATTAGCAAAATATCCAGAATGTTCAAGTAAACACGCGCAAGGTACCGAGAGTTCGAGTTTTAAACTTCAAGAAGTTTAGTTCTTCGGTTCGAGACTAGATGGCGCTAGTGCGCCGATTTGAGGCATTGGAGCGCGTAACACTGCCCCCTCCTAAGACATGCTCGTCCCGAGCATTATCGGTCCCATAATAACGCGCTAGGGGATCCACATGGACGATCTTAGGAGTCCCTCTTGCGCCTTTCTGTATCCGGTAGGTTACGTCATTGATCCTTGTCATAATTCGGTACGGGCCGTCCTATTTAGCTTAGGAGAATTCCCTTTGCTGCGGACTGGATTGTGCAACCACACAAGTGAACCTTCGTCGAACCCTTTGTTGTTCATTTTGCGGTCATACCGGGTTTTCATCTTTTCAGACATTTGCTGGCCCGATTGTCTGACGTGCTCATAAACGTCATTCATTTTGTTCCGCAAGTCATTTGCATACTCGGTTATACTGCGTGGAGCATCAGGTGGTATCCCGGT